GTCCTACAACGTGTGTACAGTTTTCCCAAAAAAAAAGCAGCCTCGTGGGGGCCGAAGTGAATTGTGGGGACCAATGCCAGGTCCCCACGGGTCCAAATGCAAATTACGAGTGTGGGGTTAGGTGGGGTTAGGTTTAGGACCAAGGTTTAGGTTAGTTTAAGGGTCAGGTAAGTACCTGTGAGGTTAATTTTAGGGTAAGTAGTCAGGGTTAGGCTATAAAATTTCCAGAAAATGAATAGAAGTCAGTCTACGGTCCCCACAGGGATATAAAAGCAAACCTGTGTGTGTGTGCACATTGTACCATCATTTAGACTTTTAAAGAGTGCTTTATGTGCAGGAATTTTGGGCTGCACTGTGGATTGGGGTCTTTCTGTGTGGAGTCTTCATGTTTGCCTTGTGTGTGTGTGTGGGGGGGGGGGTTCTCTGGTTTCCTCAGACAGTCTAACAAAAACGTGTGTTTAAGCTGCCTTAAAGCTCAGACCTCCTTTGAAAAAGAGATCTGTGATTTCAGAGTTTTAAACAAAGAGTAATAACTTCTGTGGTTTGTCTATTTCAGTGAAATCACATAAACACATACACACAAGTTTGTATTACTATCCGTATTAGCACTGTGTATTGATTCACATCTTAGTCCTAAATCTAACCCAAAAATAGTGGTCCACCATATTAGAACTGCATTTTGCTCTCCAAAAAGTACTGGTCCTGACAAAGTAGGTGTGTATACCTGAATAAGTCCTGAAATTGTAACAAACACAGGTAGACACACTTTAGAGTTGGTATTTCTATTCTTGTTGCTTTCTTGATTGATCTTATTGATTCATTTCTTGAGACTAAATAATGATTCTGTTGTTCTTGATTAAACCTGACCACTAGTTATGTTAAACAACACATCTCATCTAATATCCCCAGGCTTGTGATTTACTTACCACTTTAAGGAAAGATCCTGGTTTGGATTGGTATATGCCTAACCCAAACTTTGACCTAAAGTACATTCATACTTGGGCCCTAAACCTTCCACCATTTCAGCGTATTAGGACTAGGCTCTGTTCCTCATAAGGACCACTGGTCCTGGCAAGTTAGGTGCTTAAAACAGAAAAAGCCTAAATAAAATGTAACAAAAAACAGGTTTACACACAGAGAAGGTCACATTTCCCATCACTCTGTCAGTAGCTCCTTATGGAGCTGAAGTTCAAATCGCATGCATGATGTTTCATTTTAATTGCTTAAAATTAATTTTTCTTTTTGTTTGCATAAGATTTAATTGAGGCTTTAAAGTGAGACACATGCTCTAATGGTGTATGTGTTTTGTTGTCAATGCCTTTAGAACTCAAGTGGTCATTTCCTGTGTTTGAGTTTACAGCTTAGTGTACTTGTGTCGGCAGGGCCGCGCTCTCCTGCACTGGGCCTGTGACAGAGGACACAAGGAGCTGGTGTCTCTCTTATTACAGCATAAAGCAGACATCAACTGTCAGGTAAGCACCACTTGGTCATTTTTCTGTGTGTTTTATTTTATTTTTTTACATTTCTCCTCTATTTAAAAACGTTAGTTAAAGCAGCTCCTGTGAAGTCACTACTTAATGCTACGACTGTAGATGAATAAGACGGTGGAGATGATGGGAAAGGAGTTCCTAAAGCAAATATAAGCTCAGGTGGGGAAACCTGACGTCTCCAGCATCAGTTCTCTTCTAGCAGTCCATCCCTTCCAGAAGGTCACTTTTAATTCACTTTGTGCTACACATAAACCCCTCAGAGCTTTAGCAGACAGAGTTAGCTGGTAGCTCGCCTTGTGTTTAGACTCTCCGAGGTTTAGCAGCATCCAGCAGGCTTTAGCTTAGTCTGTAAGCTGGCTCAGCTGCACATCGGAGAAATTACTCCTCTCCCTGCCCAGCGGCATGGCACCACACACAGCTCACCAGGCTGCTCAGTGAGGTCTTAACTGTGGGGACAAATCAATTGGAAGTAATCAGGCAAATTGTTTTATGTTGCACAACCCACATAATCAGGACATTTCACAAATGACTTTCTCTTTTGTGGTCACGCGTGGCCCCCTTTGTTTTGAACGCTCGCAGGAGTGGGTGGCTGGGTGGACTTAACAATGGGATAACTACAAAACAATTCACTGATGATTTACAGCCATATAAGGATAATGACAGTGAAGTTGGACTGATTTATAAAAGGAGCTTTTGTTCTTTTTTTTAATGCAACACATCTACAGTCATTAGAGGATAAATTATGATTAACATGTGCCAAGACTTCTCAGGGATAAAAGCAGGAAGCATAAATCTTTACAGGTAGTAATTAAAGGCCTAACATTCCTGGAAGTAATGCATGTCACCCGCCATCTTTGACGCCAGTTCAGACTGAGGTCATCATATGTAGAGAAATGACTGAATGGATTATAGCAGTTTTGTGCAAACCTTGATAATTACATCATTCTCTTATGATGATATGCCTGGTTCACATGGAAGATTTTAAAATTGTTAATTGTTGGTTGATTTTCAAAGACACATAGCC